GGGTGAGAGGGAGGGATCTGAATTATATTTTTATAAAATTCACCCTTCCGGAAACATGCGCTGATTTTTTATAATCTAAAAAACAATTAATTTCGGGGAAAATACATGAGTATGCGGTTTCTCCGTGGGGTTGAAGATAGCCGTTCGTATCCGGAGGGATGAAAATTTAGGGTGGCGAGGGGAAGGGTTCTGAGATTACATTTTTATAAAATTTACCCCTTCAGAAACATGCGCTGATTGTTTATAATAAAAAAAAAATAATTTCCTGGAAAAAACATGATCATGCGATTTCTCCGGGGGGTTGAAGACAGCCCCATGTATCCGGAGGGGTGAAAATTTAGGGGGGTCAGGAAGAGGGGTCTGAGATTACATTTTTATAAAATTCACCCCTCCGGAAACATGCGCTGATTGTTTATAATAAAAAAAAAATAATTTCCTGGAAAAAACATGATCATGCGATTTCTCCGGGGGGTTGAAGACACCCGCATATATCCGGAGGGGTGAAAATTTAGGGGGGTCAGGAAGAGGGGTCTGAGATTACATTTTTATAAAATTCACCCCTCCGGAAACATGCNTGGAGGTGAGGTTGAGGGGCCTGAGACTAGATTGTTACAAAATATACCCCTTCGGCAACATGCGGTGATTTTTTTTAATTTTTCGAAAAATAAATCTCTGAGAAAATGCATGAGACTCGGGTTTTTCTTGGGGGTTGAAGACACCCGCATATATCCGGAGGGGTGAAAATTTAGGGGGGTCAGGAAGAGGGGTCTGAGATTACATTTTTATAAAATTCACCCCTCCGGAAACATGCGCTGATTTTTTATAATCTAAAAAAAAATTAACTTCGGGGAAAATACATGAGTATGCGGTTTCTCCGGGGGGTTGAAAATAGCCGCATGTATCCGGAGGGCTACAAATTAAGGGAGGTGAGGGAGACGGGTCTGACATTACATTTTTATAAAATTTACCCCTCCGGAAACATGCGCTGTTATTTTTAAATTTTTCGAAAAATGAATTTCAAAGGAAATGCATGAGACTGGGTTTTTCTGGGGGGATTGAAGACACCCGCATATATCCGACGGGATGAACATTTAGTGGGGTCAGGGAGAGGGGTCTGAGATGACATTTTTATAAAATTTACCCCTCCAAAAACATGTGCTGATTTTTTATAATTAAAGAAAAAATTAATTTCGGGGAAAAAACATGATCATGCGGTTTTTGCGGGGGCTCGAACACAGCCCCATGTATCCGGAGGGGTGAAAATTTACGGTGGTGAGGGGGAGGGGCCTGAGACTACATTGTTACAAAATATACCCCTTCGGAAACATGCGCTGATTTTTTTTAATTTTTCGAAAAATAAATTTCTGAGAAAATGCACGAGACTGGGGGTTTTCTGGGGGGTTGAAGACACCCGCATATATCCGGAGGGATGAAAATTTAGGGGGATGAGGAAGAGGGGCCTGTTAATTAATTAAATTATAAAAAACCAGTGCATATGCTCGGAGGTGTAAATTTTATAAAAATGTAATCTCAGACCCCTCCCCCACGCCCCCTCAATTTTCATCCCTCCGGATACATGCGTCTGCTTTCCACCCTGACAGTCATCAGCATTGAATAATTGAAAATATCAACATTTTTTCAGCTAAAATAAAATAACAAAATGCGCCGCAACACCCTTCTGTCGACTCGTTCGGCAGACGGCTGGCCTGCGACTGCTGCGGCAGCAATCGCAGTGCTGTTAACCCGGCCAACCAGGGCGGTAATGTAACCCTAACGCCATCTCGCGGCATTCGTTGATCGGGGTTTGTATTGGCATAATTACACTTTTACCCGTTTCTGCTAATTATTAGAAAATAACACAATAAACTGTATTAATTGAAACAAATCGATCATCTTTCAACTTTTTAACTATTTTCGGATCCGTATTTATGTCATTTTCGGTCTTTTTCACATTAAAATAAAATCCTCGCTACATCCTCGTAACAGCCAGGATACTAAGTTGCCAGAGATGCTATTAAGAGATTTTATTTCCACTATACGGTGGAGTGTCCCCCATCCACTACCACAAGGTTAGCACTCATAATAAATGGATCCAAGAATCCAAAAAACATCAAATATACACACAATCCTGATACATAATTGTTTTAGTATTCAAGTATTTTTCATCGTCAATGAATAATTGATTAAGCAATCGAATAATCGTGAATTTCAATTACTGATTGCTTATAAAACTGGAAAATTCAGGATCTCGAGTAGTGGTTAATTAAAAAATCGAATAATCTCCAGCTTCGATTAATGTTTACATAAATAATCATATATTTACTGGATGTGATTAAAAATTAATCAGATAAATCAAATAATTGGAATGTCAATTATTGATTAATCAATTTAATCGGTTACTGCCGACCTTTATTGCCGATTAACGAAGTAATCGAGAATATTCCAATTACCGGAATAAACAAAAAATTTTATCTTCAGATGATGTAATTGATGAAGTAATTCATTAATCATAATCCTCGATTGCGATTATGCCGATCCCTGGTCGGGGGTTTTCAATTTTATAGTTTTCAGTTTTTTTTACCTTTTCCTGCATAATTTAATCCTTTGATTACTCTAAAGGTGATTATCCTCAATTTGAACCAATTTCGTTTTTGCTGCCAATCCATTTTCGTTTTTGCTTGCTAGGAAATTACATTAAAATAAAAATTCATTTTTTCGAATCGCTTTTCATGTAGTTTCGTCTGGACAACGACGTTGCAGAGCTAGGTTACCGACTGTCTAAAGCATATACCCCTCCCTTTGGTTTGACGTCGGGGGCAAAAAATGCAACTTGACATAGTTTTGAATTATCTCAACGAGATCTTCAAAATGGTGTATGATTTTTCTCACTCCATCCACATGATCAAATGTTATGGGTGATAATATGTCGAAATTGGTATATCATAAAGTGAAAATTTCATTTTTTTGGCATTTTGTCCTGAATTACAATTTTTGGCTGGATTACTAAAAAAATCTTATACCGAGTGTCAAGCAAATTGAATAAGCTTTGAATTAAGAAGTCAGTCGTTGAATTTCCACCGTTTTTCACAGAGATATGAAAGTTTTTGGCTAAATTTGATTTTTTCCTGATTTATTCGAAAATTTTAATTTGGCTGGATTTTTCCATCTTTCTAAGTCAAACGACCTGAAAAATCGGTATATCGCCTTGAAGGGCATTATTAGTTCTTTAAATTATAATGTATTCAATGCCATTTGATTGAATCTTCATGAAGTTCTTGAAGATTGTTTCTCTTTTGAACGAATTTTCGTGTTGAGGGATCGGTATCCTGCGGGAATACAATGGATTCCCCTCCGCCTCACCTCCTACATTTCGTCATCGCTTGAACACTGTTGACCAACGAGGATTTATTATACACCAATTTAAAGATCTCAACGAAATCATTTAAATGGCGTATGATCTTACTCACTCAATCCACTTGATCAATTGTTATAGGTGATTGTGTGTCGAATTTCGCATGTCACAAATTGAAAATTTGCCATTTTTTTAACGTTTTGTATGGGATTACTGTCTTTTGGCTCATATATTATCCGACCTTTCATATCAGTTGAGTAGTTTATTGAATAAACTTTAAATTGAGAGGTCAATCAATTAATTTTAACAAATTTTTTTGCAAATTTATAAGACTTTTGGTCAAAAATTGAATTTTTTATGTTTTATTTGAAAATTCAAATTTGGCTACTTTTTTCTGTCCTTTTGATTGGAACCAGTGAAAAAAGAAAAATATCATTTTAAAGGGCACATTATTCGTTCTTCAAATTATTATATATTGAATGCGAATCGGTTGAATTTTCATGAAGTTATTGGAAATTGTTCCTCTCTTGAACACCACACCTTGAAATTTGGTCTTTTCCTCCATTATTGGATGTTTGCACTCAAGGAATGAGGATTTATTACACACCAATTTCAAGATTTCAAGTAGATCTATGAAATAACGTGTGATTTTTCTCACTACTTCCACTTGATTAATTATTATAGATGATTATGTACAAATTCACGATTCCTTCAGCATGATGGATTGTTGTCATTCCCGCCAATATTCAGTAGCACTAATGAAGTCACGAATTAGTTGAGTGTAAAAAATTGATTGAAGAATCAATTTGACGTAGCCTTGATAGCGCGCGCGAAGCGCACGTCTCGCCTAGTTTGTTCAAATCTTCCCTAATTGACCTGACGCCGTCCACTGCACTCTGATTGGCCAAATTATCCGATTGGGGAAAATAATCCAACAAATATCCCTCGAGTTACAAAATTAATCGGGTTTTTTTCCTCAAGCTGCCCTGCAAACAAACGACAGTGCCAAGTGTTCCTGGAAAATCCCTCGTGCAACGAGGTTTATTCGCAACGAATTTATCGAGAAATACCCGATAATTTTGAAGCTCTTGCGGTAGGGTAACCAGGTCAATTTCTGGATGAAGGTTAGTTTCTGGAGGATTTCAACTTGCATGCCATAAGTAAAATGAAAATTGTACTGATCATTTCACCTTTTAATGATATTACTCGCATATAATCATGTGATCAATTATTTTTTCTATTGATCGACATTTAATAAATAACAAAAAAATATGGCCTAGTCATCCAGAAATTAGGGGTTTTGGCTGCATTCAACTATTTCTTAATTTAATTATTCTTTGTTTTGTTATTTTCACTTCAAATAATTTTTTTTCTGCTGATTAAAACATTCTTGAAGTTATGGAAGCCATCATATCCCCATTTGGGTGATTCTTTTACTTTAGATCCTACCACAAAACTCGAATTTCCCTTAACCGTCCAGCAATCGCCCTGTTAACCTATTACTAGTGAATATCTACGACTTGAAAAAATATGAGCAAATATGAAAAACTCATACTTTTTCGGATACAAACATATGCACCAATGTTTTGGAATTAATTGGATGTATCGTGTGTTACGATATCGATGCTAATTCAATCCCTGATCTTACCAATAGGGTTTGGAATGTTCCTAGTTCAGCGAGTTTCTGAAATACGTTTGTACTCTCTGCAGACAATAGTGCGGCTAATAATTTGGCGATATGCAGCCGCGTATTACCTAGAGGCTTGTCTAATACCCCAGCAGTGGTTCTCACTGCGGCTTTCTACAAATGAAATTAAAATGAATTATTAAATAATGCTGATGTTGTTGATACTGTCGAAATGAGTAGTTACAGAATAGAAATCTTGATCGACTTACAGGGGGTGGGTTTAATAGAAGCTGCTGAAGTTTTCCCAGGTATGGAAGAATAGCGTTTTGAATTTTTGCACGATCAGCAGTATCAGCCGGATCATTATTGGAATTATTCCCTTGCAGCTCTGTATCACTGAACGTACTGCAGAAAAACAAAGATATCAGTCAAATGAATCGAGAATAGGACAATTGATACTTTCTTCGCAGAGAGAATTATGAACAACAAAAAATTCTTCTGGCACTGTTCAGATATTGGCAAAAAAATCTATATAAAATTGTTCACCAATTTGCGACTCAATGCCGGGAACTTACTTATTTGTTCCCTGGCTTAACAGTATGAGAAGTACTTGGATTCCACCAACAATACTACTTTCCACGGGTTCATCAGATAAAATTGTATCCAAAAGTAAAAACACTGTTTCCTCCCTAATAAAAATAAAAATCCAAAATTAATGCATCGTTTATAAATATAAATATCATGTATTACTGAGGAAAGACTTCTGGGATGATAACGATCAAATAGATCCTAGTAAAAATCAAATGTCCGAACGCTATCGTTCGGACCTTCCAGAGGCGACTCTCGTATACCATAAGTGTGGGTAATGGCGAAAAATCCCCGCTAGCGCGCCCAATATACGAGACCAAATGTCCGGGCGCGCGCGCCCACCGAATGTCGCCCTGTCGGTCAGAATTTTTACTAGGGAGGGCAGAATTTCAAAGTTCCTTCGATATTCATCTATCCATTCCTCATATCATAAAAAGACAAGATCACATATATCGAAATATCGTTATCAGTTTTCGTTTTCCGATTTCGTTTATATACAGGGTGTCCCAAAACCCAATGTCCAAACTGAAACTGGAAGTTAGGGGGGCAATTCTGAATCGAAAAGTCCTGTGGAACTTTTCGATCGGAAGCACTCTTTTCAAGTTATTCAAAGTTGAAGTTGCGCCAATCAGGAGCGCGGAATGGACGGACGTCTATCGGGAGTGAAATGCAAGAGTGTTGGTGTCAAAGAGGATAGACCTGAGTGGAGGCCCGGATCGGGGGGTTTGACTGACTCAAAAATGTTAGTTGGTACCCCACGGGAAAGGCGGCGTCCCGGTCGAATAGTCGGTAAATGTGAGTCGGGTGCGTGAGTAACTCGGCAGTAGCAGTCCCGCTGTGACAGGGACAGGTTCGGAGGGGGACTTTTGTCCTCCTTGTACTAAATGTTTACTTTATGTTTTTCAGTTGATTTATTCGCCGACTAATTAATATTAAGGAATGAAACAAAGACTGTTCAATGGAGAATTAAATTCCCCATCCATCAACCCCCGTTTCATCCCTTAATCTCTGCAATAAAAAAATTAATATTGCGACGAAAGTCACGGCGCTATAAGAAACC